ACCACTTGATGTGAACACCACATCTATTTAAAATTTGGAAAAGGGAACACTAATTCTCAGGAGATGGCATAAGAGCAACAATTTGGCATTTCATAGAATAGAGAGACTAAAGGAAATTTTTCTGTATTTTAATAAAATATATTTACAGTTCTTTATATTTTTAAGCTTTTTGGTTCATAGTTGGTAAAAATTTCTAGCAAAACCTTTGAGTGATACTCATTTTCTATTTTTCTATTCTTTTAATTTTGAAGTCTGCTTACACCTTAGCACTAGCAAAAGATCCTGATCTCCAGTATGGAAAACTGAATTTTTCTGCCCCCCTTATTTTATGTATTATATTCCCTCTTAATTTTAATGATTGTTACAGGCAAAGAAGAGTAAAACCAAAATGCCATCTCTGGTAAAGAAATGGCAGAGTATCCAGCGTGAGTTAGATGAAGAGGAGAACTCTAGTTCCAGTGAAGAGGACCGGGAATCAACCGCACAGAAGCGAATTGAAGAGTGGAAACAGCAGCAGCTGGTCAGGTAAACAGAGATCATAGATTGGGGTGGGTTGTGGTGGTTGTCGTCATTTTAGAACAGTCATGTTCTTAAAATCATAGCCCTTAGTTTTTTGCTACTCTTGATAAACTATTATCTAAAATAATTTTTAATTCTCAGAAGTATTTATTTCCCTATAAATATCATGGTCTAGCCTTTTTTCAAACTACAGAAGTATCAGAATTGTAATACTTTCTCCCACTGGTTTTTCTTCTTTGGCAAAGCGTTGTCCTAATCCGCTGTGTACTAGGGAAAATAATCCCACCAGTTACCATCTAGATCCAGTGGATCCTGTGGACCCTGTTTTTTGTTTGTTTTTGTTTTTTAATGTAAATATTTTTAATTTATTTTACAAATAATTTACAGAAGTAAGGATAAAGGGTCAGGAGGACAACTATTATTAGAAATTTTAACAAGAATTTAAACATAGCAAACCTGAATTTTTATTCCTTGTTTTCCTAGTTTTGAACGTCCAAAAAAAGAAACCTCTTTGCCACTGAGTTGATTCCAACTCATAGCAACCCAGTAGGACAGAGTAGAATTGCCCCATAGGGTTTCCAAGGCTGTGAATCTTTATGGAAGCAGACTGCCACCACATCTTTCTCCCATGGAGCAGCTGGTAGGTTCGAACCCCCAACCTGTTGGTTCACAGCTGAGCACTTAACTGCTGCACCACCAGGGCTCCTCTAGTTTTGAAGGTATATTTACTAAAATGAACACATTCTTTGAATGCAGCTAACTGCTCATTAATTGTCCTGCATAAAGTTGGAACATATTCTCAACTAAAAAAATTTTGTTAAAGACTGAAGTTTTCTCTAGACTTTTTTTTTTTTTTTTTTATTTTTTTTTTTTACTTCAGGTGAAGGCTTACAGAACAAATAGTTTCTCATGAAACAGTAGAACACATGTTGTTTTATGACATTGGTTAACAACCCCACAACATATTAACCCTCTAAATTCTCAACCTTTTTTTTTTTTTTTTTGGTGAAAATACACATAGCCAAAGATACACCGTTTCAAAAATTTCTACATACACAGTTCAGTGACATTGACTACGCTCTTCCAATTGTGCTGTTATTCTCACTTAAGATGAAGGCTTGCAGAACAAAATAGTTTCTCATTTAACAGTTACTACAAATGTTGCCCTATGACAATGGTTAACAATCTCAACACACCAACGATATCCTTACTCAGCCTTGGGTTCCCTATCACCAGCTTCCTTGTCCCCTTCTGCCTTCTGGCCCTTGTCACTGGACTCCTGTACCTCGTTAGTCTCATTTGGTTTTACGGGGCTGTCCACTCCCAGGCTGAACAGTGAACCTTGGAGATAACTTCACCACTGAGCTAAAAGGGTGTCTGGGGGCTATACTCTCGGGGTTTCTCCAGTCTCCTTTAGGCCGGTAAATCTGCTCTTTTTTTTGTGAGTTAGAATTATGCTCTACATCCTTCTCCAGCTCTCTCCAGAACCCTCTGTTGAGATCTTGGTCAGAGCAGTCAGGGGTGGTCTCTAGACTTTTTTACTTCCTTGAAAAGTGATAGCTATTTTGGGCAACACAGAAAGCTGAGGTGTAGTGTATTAGTGATGATTTATTTCACTTTTGCATCATCCTTCAGTTTTGTTATTGTCAAGAACATGTTTCATTCTTTCAGTGTAGCTTTAATGGTTACAGAAAATACATGTACGTAAGTAAAAGCACACTTACATATACATAAAACTATAGAGACTTGTAGAGTGTGTGTGTTGAGCCATCAGAATTAAGAAATTTGATTAATATGCTGGTATTTAAGAAACTTGAACATTTTTATAAACATAGATGTGATCAGATTTTCAGTACAAGGTTTCTTGCTAGGGATTGAACGGTTTTTTTCTTGTCAGTGAGTAATCTGTGTGTGTGTGGTTTGTTTTTTTTTCCACAGTGGCATGGCTGAGAGAAATGCTAATTTTGAAGCCCTTCCTGAGGATTGGCGAGCAAGACTGAAGAGAAGGAAAATGGCTCCAAACACATGAATTTTTTTAAGAAAATTTTTTATTTTTAGTATTTGTTTTGTTTTATGTTCAGTTCAGAGTCTTAACCAGTTTTACTGTTGTCAAACTATAAACGTTATTGGGGAGAAGATATGAATTTCCTGGGCAACAACATACGTGTCCCTAGTTTTCACATTTGTGAAATGTACTTTTTGTTTTGTTGAAAGCTGAGGTGATTGTAATTGCTTTGACCTGGCTGCCTTTATTCTCACACTGGGAAGCTCAGCATGTTAGGTATGTTAACCTCATCAGTCTTAAACATGTGGCTCTAATGGACTCGCTGACAAAAAGTGAAGGGTTTTCCTGCCTAATAGAGGCTTGTTTATTTCTTACTGTGGCACTCTCACTGACTTCCACTCCAGAACAAGTGCAATTAAGAAGGCAGCTGTATTCCCCCTAGTTAAACTGGGATTATCGGGATCTTTTTCTGACCTTTTTTCCTGTAGTCTATTACCCCTAAAGCACTGAGGTCTGTCAGCCTTTGCTGACAAATGGCCACATGCTTTAGTTTTTCTCACAAATTCTAAAACTGATAGCTCAGTCATTTCACACAATAAATAGGTGGCATATTTAAATTTTAATACAGGCAGCAGCAACAGCAGGTGTTCATGTCCTTGATTTTGAGAATTTCCCCCCTCAAGTATGTGGCAGTAAATGTAACAGGAGCCATTCTTACGTGTTATTGTATCTCCATTGTCTTACCCTGTTCCAAAGTTCACTTCCTCTAAGTGTGAGCGTATTCTCCATAAAATTCCAGTGTTTAAAAAGCAGTTTACTATTCTGTACTTTGTATTGTATCACAATCAGGTAAAAGTCACTTTAAACTGAAGAAAAGGCAAATTGTGTTTTAAAGCTATTTGTATTTCTCCAGTTTTTGGCCTTGTAAATTTGTATATATGCACTAATAAAGCTTTTTTTTATACTTCTGATTGGTTATCTGCTTGTTCTTCTGAGCCTGTTAACTGATTACCGTGTAACTAGAACTTTTCAGTCTAAATTGTTTTTTCTGATCAAATGCGGTACAGGACACGTGCAAACAATGAAGAACAGTTTTCAGGGAAAAGAGCAGTAGGATCTTGAGTTGGGAGGAATGAAAACAGGCTTCTCATACCAGATGGTGCTGTGTGACCTAAATTTTCGGAGCTTGTACCCTATCTATAACATTAGCTTAATATTTGACCTACTTAAATCTTGGAAATGATGGAATGTGGTTAACATTTTGATAAAGCTATATAGCTTTTTTCCTCAGATTATAAAAGTGATACATATTTTTTTTTATATTCAAATAAGGTATAAAGTTACCCAGACAGTTTTACTACCTAGTCAGTGTCATGCATGATGTATTGGATTTTGTCATTATGCTTATATTGAGGTGACCATTTTGTACATGAATTGTTTTTCCCTTTATTTCCAGAGTAGATTGCTACTAATGAAATTAAAGGCTATCAGCTAGTCGTAGCTTTTGCCTTAGCTACAGTACAAGTTTTCCAAGCTTGTAGGAATTGCTGCAGAGCACCAGAGCCTTTCTCAATGAAACTTTTTTTTTTTAAACCTGCCTATTTGTTATTCAAAATGTGTGGTTTCAACTTGCTAACCTTATTTCTTGGATTTTTTCCTGGCAATACGACAGAGAATACAAGGTGAAAGGAGAGGGGAAACTGAGAATGCATTGGTTTCCTAAAGGTATGGAACAGCAAACGAGCTTGAAAATAGGTTGATGATTTAACGGTCTTGTATTCATCAGTGCAATTTCGATTCCACAGAGTCGAGCGGCAATATTGTATGTAAGAGGAATGAATCTGAACCCTTCATGTCTGCAACGCCGGCAACAGCTCTTGAGCCATTCGGAGTTTAAGTCTTCGGCAAATCGACAGCTAGCGACCCAGACCTACAGCTGTTGCCGGAGCCGGATTCACCCCTCCAACCCTCCAACCCTTGGAGGCGGGGCCTGAATCCCCCGGAAACGCCCGGCCGTCCGGCCCTCCTTCCCCTGCCCCCACGCGGTTGCTAGGCTACCGGGGTCCGCGCCGAAAACTGGGGCCGGTGAGCGCAGCGAGCGTCTCCTCCGCCCGGTGCCCGGCTGGACGTCTGAACGTGCCGTGTTGGGGTCTCCGGCCTCGCCCGGGCTCCTCTGTCGCTGCGGGAGCGGCGCCCACACCTGCTGCCCGGGGCGAGCCGGGCTGCGGGGCCCTCGCAACCTTAGCTCTATCCTCCAAGGAAATCTGTGTCCGCCCCCACCCCCGACCCTTCAGGAAACTTCCCTTCACCACTCCTCCCCGCGGCCAGGAAGCTCTGAGCCCTGGAATTCCGCTTTCTGGGCCCACTCTCCCGACCCCTGACCCTTCTTTTCCATCTATCCCAAGACGACTCCTCCCCTCCCCCCATTTCTTTCGTTTCCTGCGGCGTCCCTCCTCAGGGAGAGGGAGCATGGGGCCGGCGAGAGGCTTGGCGCCTCCGGAAGAGAAGGCGGGAAGACTTGCCGCCCTCCCGAACTCAGGTGCGCCTCGGGGCCTTGCAGCGGGATCCAGCAGCAGTCGGTGTTTGAGGAGAGGCTGGCTTTGCAGGGAAGACAGAGCAGGCGACGCGGCAGGCTTTCCTAAAGACACGTAGCCAAAGTGGAGGGTGGGAGTGGAGGGACGGAAATACCGGCAGTATTTTCAGATGTCCTGTTCTGGTTTTGTAGCTTCTTCTGTGTAATCGACTTCCCTTTTTGGAAAATTGGGCCCAGGTTGCTCTTGGATGCCGGTGTCGCTGACGAGTCTTCAGCCTACTATACAGAAGTAACATGTTCCCAGCGTTGGACACAGAGCTCAAGCAGGAGGTCGGTACACACCCTTTTCCAGGAACACCGAAGAAATCCAATATTAGATCAGATGGCACCGTTTTCCAGTTGGAAATCTTGATCCCCAAGATAGAATGATTGCATAAATGTCGTTTATTTGGTTTGATTACAGAAACCCTTCGGTATACTGTCCTCTGCAACAATACTCGTGTGGCTTTTGTTGAGAGTTCAGTACTATTCGGAAGGCTTTTCCTAATTGCGGTGGCTTTTCTTTTCACAGACCCTTCCTGATCCCTATGAAGATTTTATGTACCATCACCTCCAGTACTATGGCTACTTTAAAGGTAACATCCTGTTCTCATCTAGCATCACCTTACCTGGGTTCATGAAGTGAATTGTTTTATTAACTGATTACTTGGCAGAGTTGTTAGTCTCTGTTTTGTGCTTGGATAGAGTAAGCAAGAGATAATTAAATGAGTTACCCCACTCACAAAAAAAAAAAAAAAAAAAGACCAGATTTACTGGCCTAAAGGAGACTGGAGAAACCCCGAGAGTATGGCCCCCAGACACCCTTTTAGCTAAGTGGTAAAGTTACCTTCGAGGTTCACTGATCAGCCTGCAAGTGGACAGCCCAGTAAAACCATGAGAGTAACGAGGTACAGGAGTCCAGTGACAAGGCCCAGAAGGCAGAAGGGGAGTAGGAAGCTGATGATAGGGAACACAAAATAGAGTAAGGATATTGTTGATGTGTTGTGAGATTGTTAACCATTGTCATAGGGCAACATTTGTAGTAACTGTCAAATGGGAGACTATTTTGTCCTGTAAGCCTTCATCTTAAGTGAGAATAACAGCATAATTAGAAGAGCGTAGTCAATGTCACTTAAATGTGTATGTAAAAAAAATTTTTGAAATGGCGTATCTTTGGCTATGTGTATTTTCACCAAAAAGAAAAAAAAAAAAAGTTGAGTATTTAGAGGGTTAAAATGTTGTGGGGTTGTTAACCAATGTCATAAAACAGCATGTGTGTTACTGTTACATGAGAAACTATCTGTTCTGTAAGCCTTCACCTGAAGTACAATAAAATTTTAAAAAAAAAAAAAAAAAAATGAGTTACCCTAGGTTCTTGGACAAAATGCAATTGACCTCGAGTTTCCTGATACCCTACTTAATGTTGTTAATACTAGACCATAGGAAAATGTAAAGAAATTGTGGACATTATGAATTAAAGTGTTCCTCAGACAAGCTTTGAAAAGAAAGTTGCCTTTATATCTGCTCTCAAAGTAATGAATTTGAATAAATTATATCCATTGCTTTTCAAGTCTCTTCCTCACTCTCTTGTTTTCTTAGCTGTGAAATGGGGATGATTATGTTTAATTCACCTATATTAGAATGTGAAAGCTGTTTGAAAAGTGGGCCATATTTATTACAAAGTCCTGTGGTGGTGATGGAAATAGTGATGGTTTGGGTAGTAGTGGTTTCAGTATTGACCTAGATGTTGAAGGTGAGCCAGCCTTCCAGCAACCTGAATTAAACTGAGTGGTTTAAGAGCTACAGCTGCTAACAAAAAGGTCAGCAGTTCGAATCCACCAGCCAGCTCCTTGGAAACCCTATGGGGCAGTTCTACTCTGTTCTCTACGGTCGCTATGAGCCGGAATCAACTCAGCAGCATTGGGTTTGATGTTTTTTGGTTTTTCGTTCTTAGCTCAGAGAGGTAATTTACCAAACTCTGCAACACACCAGCATGTCTGGAAGAATAACTCTCGATTCCTGTTGAACGGCTCTTTTGGGGAAAGAGATGATTTGTTACCAGACCCCCTGCAAAAGGAGAAGCTTCTATGTGAGTAATTATTCAGTATGTGAGACCCCCAGAACCCTCACTGCAAAACAGGAGAGACAACACAGTAGTGTTAATGAGTTTTAGTCAAAGTATAATTGATAATGCAACATCTTTTTTTTTTTTCCTGTTTTGATCACTGAAGTGAGGAAGATATTTTTCTTTAGCTTTGTAGCAAAGTATTGCTTAAGATTTTGCTAGAGGAGTGCAAAGGATTTTAAAAAATGGGTTATCATCTGTTTAAAAAAAAAAAAAGAATGTAAAGTTAGAAAATTCAAACGGTAAAAGAAAAGGTACAAAATAAAAACGAAAACCTCTTTTTTACTCCACCCCTAATATAGCCACTACTCTTATAATCCCTTTCAGAAGAAAAAGAAAAAAATATATCCTCATATGAATCTATATAGTTTTTCTTTTTAAGGACTCACAGAAGATTCTATGCACAGTCTACTTTTTTTTTGCTTAATATCTTAGAGAACCTTTTCAAGTGAACACAAAAAAATCCACATTATTATTTTTAAAGGCACCTATGGTATTCCATCTCATTAATGTATCATAATTATTTGAAGCCCCCTACTGATGGATTGGGACCCTGGTGGCACAGTGGTTAAGTGATACGGCTGCTAAGCAAAAGGTCAGCAGTTCAAATCTACCAGCTGCTCCTTGGAAACTCTATAAGGCAGTTCTATTCTGACCGCTATGAGTCGGAATCGACTACGGCACAGGTTTACTGATGGATTGTTTCCACTTTGGTGGTAGTTTCCACTTTTTGCTATTTTGAACATTGCTGTAATGAGCATTTTTGTATAGGTATCTTGACAAACTTTTGTGAGAAAATCTAAGGTAAATTTTTAGCAGTGGGATTGCAGAATCAAAGGGCCTGTGTATTTTAAATTTAAAACCAGAAAGGTTGCAGCAATTTGCCATCTAGCCAGCAGGTTCTGAGAGTGCTTATTTACTTATACCGTTGCCAGGATGAGTGTGAAAATAGGTAAATGTTTTTCCTGCCTTTTAGGTGAAAAACTAGTATCTCCTTGTAGTTTTGATTTACATTCTTTAATTATGCGTGAGATTGAGCAGCTGTATCATCTTTTCAAATGTTTTGGCTTATTTTCATTTTCATTAAACTGTGGAGAGAAAATTTAGATAGAGACGAAAGAGCCTAAGTTAGGGATAGAAAGGAGTAAAGGGAAGTGGGCAGAAAAAAGAAAGATAAAGATCCCTAAGACAAACCATGTCTCTTTCTCCTCCTTCCTTAGGGCCTATTGGCTTATCCTCAACTGTGCACAGACAGCTAGAAGCTGTGAACAGAGGTATTTCATGTCCTTCCAGACCAGAAAACCCAAGCTCTTTCATGGAATTATGTCTTCCTCCTTCTTAGTTTGTCCCCCTCCTCCAGCGGAGTGTTATCAGGCAGCCCTGGGACTCACATCTGATGGGCACTGAGGGGCCTTAAGGCTTTCCTTCCCTCTGATTTCCTTTCTTTCTCCCTCTCATTTCCTTTCTTTCTCTCTCTTATTTCCTTCTTTCTCCATTTCATTTTCTTTCTCCCTGAAAGCCTTCCTTTCCTCCCTTTTTTCTCATTCTTTCCCAAAGAACAGTTCTTCCCTCTCATTTCCACTTCTCTTTTCTCTGTGCCTCCCCTTTCCATCCTCTTTGTTTTATGTTTCCCTGGCCTTTGAATAGTTACATTATTGACCTGAAGTTTAATTTGTAGATTGTTTAAGTGTAGTTAATAACATTTAATGTATCTTTTTCCAAAATGTTAATGGGTTAATTGAAAGTTCCCATTCCTGCATCTCAAAATGAAAACAATAAAACATATTTAGTAACTTTGTGTTCATTTGTGACACACTTTTAAAATATCTTGGACCTATTAACTTGAAAAACAAAAATCTTCCTCTATCTTATTCTGAAGCTTTATATTTAATATTTAATAAAGTGTGCAGAAATTTAAACATTTTATAATTTTGAATCTGTCATCCTGGACTAAATCTCCCTCTTGAAGGAGAAACATGTTATAGGATTGCACGCCTGTGCTAATATTTGAATACAGTGCTTGAAGTTGCTTAGTTTCTATAGTTGAGCAGTAAAATTCTCAAGAAGGAAAAGGAAGTGTTTTTACTCATTTCCTTTCCCTTTGGCAGATTCGCTTATGCGGAGTTCACCACTTCTTAGGAGCAGACAGCTTCTTTATGATGATTTGGGTGACATAAACCCACGTCTTCGAGAACCTCGAGATCTCTTCGCACTCTTGTCTAGCAGTGGGCCACTGCTGGCTCCAAAATGGCCAATAGAATGTGAGGTCATCAAAGAAAACGTTCGTCATATTGGTAATGTGAATTACATGTGGTGTTCTTGCTTTTCTGACTCTATTACAAGATCTTAGAGTTACAAGTGCTGCATGCTAAAGTATAAAGCAGGACAGAATCAACATGCATTAGCTCACCCTGAAATGATTAAGCTCTTGGAAAATGATACATGCTCACCAAAATCAAAAGAGACCAGTGTGTAAACTAGAATACTTCTGAGTTTATTGGAATGTGAGGATACTTTCCTAGAGGCCAAAACATGTAAATACATTTATTTTCTAGATTATTCCCATCTCGGTATTAATATGCTTGAATGAATTTTATAAGAGTTGTATTTTTATCAGCCTTGGTATAACTGGTGAAGACCATATATGTTAGACTTAGGTTTATAACATATTTTTTACTGTTTTTAATTATAATTCAAGTTTATTGGCGTTTTTTACAGGAATAGTGGATACTTAAGACATTGCTGGTCATATTGATAAGCTCCTGGTATAAGCACAATCTTTAGCATTCATTTTATGAAACATTTACAAGAGTGAATTGCACTGAAAAGTGGGGACTTTACTAATTACTGGAACACTATGTCCACCAAACATCATGTCTCTGCTTTAGGCTGTGATGAATAAACAACTGGATGTTTCCTATTTTCTAACTCCACTTTTACAATAGTCATTCAGTAAATATTTTTTAAGCATTTACCATATGCTAAGAATAGTATTTGGTGCTAGAGATGTAATGATGAACAAGATGGAGTCAGCCAGAGCTCACAGACTTCTGAGGAAAGTAAATATATCACCAGGCAATTGCATAGAGTTTGGTCTCTCTGGGAACACCTACCCAACCTGGAAGATCAGAGAGGGTTTCCAAGAGGAGTTGGCTCTGAGATGTAAAGGTTGAGTTATAAATGATCCAAATGAGAAAAGTATTCTAGTTAGAGAAGGAGCGTGGTGTGTTGGGGAAACCATAGAGCATAGAGCATGAAAGGAAAGAGATGAGGCTGAAAATACAGGGAGGGGCTCAATGGGAACAGAACTGTTATTGGGGTGTTTGGAAATATATGGGGCACATTGAGTTGGCACAGAGACGGGGCAGTCCTAAGATCATCTGTCCCTACCCTGTACAGTTTTTAGATAAAAGTCCAAGATGATCTGGCTAGACAATAGGATTTTGCTGTTCCCTGTATAAGATAGTGATAGGAGCCCTGGTGGTGCAGTGGTTAAGTGCTTGGCTGCTAACCAGAAGGTTAGTGGCTCAATCCCACAAGCCACTTTACGGGAGAAAGATGCAGCAGTCTGCTTCTGTAAAGATTTACAGCCTTGGAAACCCTCTGGGGCAATTCTACTCTGTCCTGTTGTGTCACTATGAGTTGGAATTGATTCTTTGGCAATGAGCTTAGTTATTTTTTTAGATATAAGATAGTGGAAATGAGTGGGTATTAGACCAAGACAGAGAATTCCTGTGAGGATTTAGAACTGGTTACTATTTGGAAACCCTATGGGGCAGTTCTACTCTGTCCTATAGGGCTGCTATGAGTCGGAATTGACTCCAGAGCAACAATTGTTTTTTTTTTTACCAAGGATATAGGCAAGGAAGGAGGAATAAAGTGGGAAACTGGAATTTAGTATTTAAATTATTGCAGTGGTAATCCACTAAACCACTAGATATTAGAAAAGCATTTTTTTTTTTTTTTTGGTGAAAAAATACACAGTAAAACATACACCAGTTCAACAGTTTCTACATGTACATCTCAGTGACATTGATTACATTCTTCAAGCTGTGCAGCCATTCTTGCTTTCCTTTTTCATATTATTCCACCACCAATAAGATAAACTTACCGTCCCCTAAGCTTATCGTCTGATCTTTTGAGTTGCTGTTGTCAATTTGATCCCATATAGGTAATTTTTTAAAAGAGCACAGTGCTCAAGGCAGACATTTTTCACTAATTAAGCTAAACTATTGTTTGGTTAAAGATGACTTCAGGGGATAATTTTGGTTTAAGGTTTAAAGACTGTCTCAGGGCAGTAGTTTCCAGCCTCAAAGCCTCATCACCCCATTCCAAGAAATTAGCATTATCTTTTACTGAATTATATCTTTATATGCCCTTTACTTTCATCAGTGGCTATTGTACTTACAGTGATATTGAGAAGTTGCCCAAACCCATATGAGAAATTTCTTCTGGAATTCATTGCTAGTGGGAAAGCCTTGTTTCTTCTGAAACAATTGATACAGTTGCTCTTCTGTAGTTAAAAAATATGTAGGTGATCATGTTTCCCTGACTTTAAGGAAGCTCAGGGCTAAATTTTAAAGAACTATTGTACCAACTGTATTGACTTTTCTGTTGGCGTATATTTAGTCATCTTTTTCCTGCTCTTATACTTCAGTCTTCTATTTAAAGTTGATTATTTTTATTATATGTGCTTTTTGTAAAAATTTCCTCATAGTCTTTAGGGAAAGAAGCAAGACATAGTTATAATTTAAAAGCAAACTAGAAACTCAGGGTGAGAATTTGGTTTGACTCAACCAAAGTAGCCATTTGAATAATTATGTTAATTTTATATCAGGTCTAATAAAGTACCTTTTCTGTTATTTTTTATTTTGTGCACTTTTTTTATGTCTTCTTTCAGAGTGGGTTCCACCTCAACCGGAATATTTCTATCAACCTACAGGGAATGAAAAGGTACCAGAAATTGTAGGAGAGGAAAAAGGCACAGTTGTCTATCAGTTAGATTCAGGTATTGTTGTTACACTGAATAGAGAGTGAATAATCATGACAAAGTTATAATAAATGTATTTTCTATAATAAAAGTGATGCAAAAATTTGTAGTTTAATAATAAACTGTCTTTTCCAGACCAAACTAAGTGGGAGCCCTGATATTCATGACCAATCAACTTTAAAATTTTAATAGATTTTAAAAATGACAGTACATTTTTCTCAATAGTTCTAAGCCCGTCTTATAGCTTTTCCTTTATTCCCCTTCTTGAAAATGAGATGTTGGATAGGGGAGCTTGTTTTTCTTTTCTTCCCCTCCTGCATGTATATTAGTGAGTACTTTGTTGTATGTGTATATAATTGTCATTTACTTGGTGTTTTCCTGCATTAAGTTGCAGGCTCTCTAAGGATAAAATCTTGTCTTTTTAAAAAGTATCCAGAACACTGAACCCAATAACTAAAAGATACACCTTATTCTCAAGGGTATATGGAAGATTCCCCAGGCTAGACCATATGCTAGGCCATAAATCAAGTATTGATAAATTTGAAAGGATTTAAATCATATAAAATACGTTCTCTGATCACGAAAAAATAGAAACCAACAATGAAATCTGGAAAATCCACAGATACTTGGAAATTATACAACACATTTCTAAATCATGCATGGGTTAAAGAAGAAATCACAAGGTGTGTTAGAAAATATTTTGAATTGAATGAAAATAAAATTGCAACATATCAAAATTTATGGGATACAACCAAAGCACTACAGGGGAGTTTTATGGGTTTAAATGCCTGTGTTTGTGTAATCTAGTGGCATTTGAAGTCCTCTAACTTCAGCATCAGCCCAGAGCATTCCTATGAGATGGAGGTCAGGCATACCTCCACTCTCCAACCTTTTTACCAATTCTGACACCAGCTGTCCTCCCCATAGCATTCTTTCTACTTCACTGCTGCGTTAGATAATTCATTGCAGTTGGCAGATAGAACACATAGACCATAGTCTCAATTACTTGGTTTATCAGGCAAATAACAGTTTACAAATTGGAATCAGGATCAACTTGGAAGTAACAAGAACAGCTCAGGATAAAGTTTGCAGTCAGGACAGCTTACAATCAAGACAGCTCTCAGCTCCTTCTCAGCCATACCCACAAGTAGGCTGTACGTCTTAGCTGTGCCCACAGGCTGGCCCCCCTCAGGCCTAGCCTCTGCTGCCAGGCCCCACTCAGGCAAGTGCCACAGCTGTTTTGGTGCTGCTATTAAGTGCCTAGAGGCACCCCACTCCACCAGCATGCCTCCTGCCAAAGGCGCTCAGCTCTCTTGTTCCATGGGTCCTCTAGTCCACTGCAGTCATCTGCCATCTCATGCCATCTTCAATGTTAACAGCTCTCCTGGGTCTAGGAGGTTCTCAGCACAGGGACCCTGCATCCAAAAAATGCACTCTGCTCCCAGCCCTTCCTCTTGACAGTAGTGACGTCCTCCCTCAACCTCTGTGGAACTGGTCCTTTTAAGCCTAGCAGGATGGCAGAACTGACCAATCCCCTAGGTAGGCCACAGTCACCTAGTTTGCATAGTAAACAACCAATTCCTACAAGGGTTTACACAGTAAAGTGTCCAGTCCCTTTGCAAGATTGTGGCCTAGCAAATCATCTTGGCAGAACTACAAAGCCAGGGTCAGAAAGGCCATTTATAAAGAGAAACCCATTGCACTGCAATTTTTAAAGAAAGATCTCAAATCAATTACTTAAGCTTCTACCCTAATAAACTAGAAAAATAAGAGCAAACTAAACCCAAAACAAGCAGAAAGAAATAATAAAGATAACTATGGAAGTCAGTGAAACAGAAATCAGAAAAATAATAGAGAAAATCAAACAAAGTTGTTTCTTTGGAAATATCTACAAAATTGACAAAACTTTAGCTAGACCAAGCAAGAAAAAGGAGAGGAGACACAATCAAAATCATGAATGAAAGAAGGGATATAACCACCAACCCTACAGAAATCAAAAGAATTGTGAGATATTGCCATGAACAACTTTATGCCAACAATAGACAGACAAAATGGACAAATACCTAAAAAGACACAAATTACCAAAACCAACTCAAGAAGAAATAGAAAATCTGAATAGAATCTAACAAAAAAATTGAGTTAATAATATAAAGTGTTCCTGCAAAGAAAACCCCGGCACAGAGGGCTTGACTGGTGAATTCTATCAAACATTTAAAGGTGGAATAATACCAGTTCTTCGCAAACTTTGAAAACAAAGGAGGAGGAAATATTTCCCCATTTTTTTTATGAGGCCAGTATTGCTTTGATACCAAAGTGACACAAAGACATCATAAGGAAAGAAAACTACAGACCAATATTATTCTTGATACAGATGCAAAAATCCTCAACAAAGTATTATCAGACCTAATGCGGTAACATATAAAAAGGATTATACACCATAATAAGATTGGATTTATCCTTGGAAAACAAGGTTGGTTTAACATCTGAAAATCAAGAAAAATGTAGAAATAATTATAAATCTATGTTAATAGACATAATATATAAAGATGTAGTTTGTGACAGTAACATAAGGGGGAAGATGGAACTGCAGAGTTATTGTATGATATTGAAGCTAATTTGGTAATCTGTTTAAACTAGATTGTTATAAACTTAAGATGTTAATTGTAATCCCCATCATAGCAACTAAAATAATACCTTAAAAATACACTGAAAATGAAATGAGGGAATCAATCTAACACACATACACAAAGCCGTATTGGAGGAAGTGAGAAACAAAAAAGATATGACATACAAAAAAGAAATGGCAAAAGTAAATCCTTATCAGTAATTGCTTTAAATGTAAATAGTCTAAACTCTCCAATTAAAAGCAAGAGACTGCATGAATGGATTAAAAAACATGATCCAACTATATATTGTCTACAAAAGATTTACACTGGATCCAAAGACACAAATAAGTTGAAAGTGAAAAGATGGAAATGAATATTTTATGCAAGTAACCATAAGAGAGCTGAGTTAGCTGTATACTAATATCAGACAAAATGGACTTTAAGTCAAAAATTGTTACAAGAGACAAAGTCACTATATATTGATAAAAGCATCAGTTTGTCAAGAAGATATAACAGCTATAAACATGTATGCACCAAAAAACAAAACCCCAAAATACATTAAACAAATTGACAGAATTGAATGGAGAGATAATTCTACAGTAATAATTGGAAACTTAAGTATACTAGATTCAGTAATAGGACATATAGACAATATCAGCAAGGAAATGAGGACAAGACAGAGGGCTTGAGCAAAATGATAAACCAACTAGATCTAGCAGACATATATAGAACATTTCACCCAACAACAGCAGAATACACAGTCTTCCCAAGTGCACATGAATTATTCTCTAAAATAGGCTGTATGTTAGGCCACAAAACAAGTCTCAATAAAAGAGTTTGAAATCATACATAGTATCTTCTCCAATTACAGTGGAATGAAACTAAAAATCAGTAACAGAAGGAAACTGGAAAATTCACAAATATGTGGAAATTAAACAACATACTCTTTAAAAACCATTGGGTCAAAGAAGTAATCACAAGAAAAATTAGAAAATACTTTGAGACGAATGAAGACAAAAACAAAATACCAAACACAGCGAAAGCAGTTCTCAGAGGGAAATTTATAACTGTGTAAGTGCCTACATTAATAAAGAAGAAAGATCTTAAATCTGTAACCTAACTTTACACTTCAAGGAACTAGAAAAGGAAAAGCAAACTAAACCCAAAGCCAGCAGAAAAATGGAAATAGTATTATAGTGGAGATAAACAAAATAGAAAATAGAAAAAATGATAGAATCAGCAAGACCAAAAATTGATTCTTTGGAAAGATAACAAAATTGACAAACCTTTAGCTAGACCAAAAAAAAAAAAAAAGATGAAAATAACTAAAATCAGTAATGAAAGGGGAGACATTATTACTGACCTTACAGAAATAAAAAGGATTATAAACAAATTTCAGCAAAATTGCAGGGTACAAAGTCAACACATAAAAATCAGTTATTTCTGTACACTAGCAGTGGACAATCTGAAAATGAAACTGAAACATTTCTATTCACGATAGTATCAAAAAGAATAAAACATTTGGGAATAAATTTAAGAACAAAAGAATACCAAGACTTGTACTCTGAGAACTATACAATACTGCTGAGAGAAATTTTAAAAGATCGAGATAAATGGAGAGAGATTCTATGATCATGAATCGGAAGACTCAATATTGTTAAGATGGCATTCCTTCCCAAATTTATCTATAGACTAAATCCCTATCAAAACCACATCAGGCCTGTTTTGCACAAATTGACAAGCTGATTCTAAAATTTTTATGGAAATCAGAGGACCCAGAATAGTCAAAAGTATTTTGCAAAGGATAAAAAAAGGTGGAGGGCTCACACTTCCCAGTTTTAAAACTTACTATGAAGCTTTTTATAAAGGCCACAAGGCGATGTGGTGATGGCATAGGATGTACATATATATAAATGGAACAGAATTGAGAATCCAGAAATAAACCTTTACTTTTATAGTCAATTGACTTCCAACAAAGGTGCCAAGGCAATTTAATGAGGAAAGGATAGTCTTTTCCACAAATGGTGGTAGAAAATTTGATGTCCGTAGACAAAAGGATTAATTTAGGCACTTACCTCACACCACACACAAAAATTAATTCTAAACAGATCATAGGCCTAAATGTAAGAGCAGAAATTATAAAATGGAAGAAAACATTGAAGAAAATTGTCTTCCCTCTGGGTTAGAGAAAGAGTTTTTAGATATGACACCAAAAGCCTGATCCGTAAAATAAAAAATTGATATCTTGGACTTCATCTAAATTTAAAACTTTTGCTCTTCCAAAGAGACCATTAAAAAAACAAAAAAGACACACAGACTGAAAGAAAATACTTGAAAATCATGTCTGGTAAAGGACTTGTACCCACAATCCATAATAAGAAGATGAACAACTCAACTAAAAATGGACAAAAGATTTGAATAGACATTTTACCAAAGGAGATATACAAATGGCTAATAAGCACATGAAAAGATGTGTAACACCATTGGTCATTAGAGAAATGCAAACTAAAACCACATCACACCTACAAGGATAGCTATTAAAAATGATAATAATAAGTGATAGGGAGGATGTGGAGCATGTGAAATTGATGAATGTGAAGAATTGTTTGAATCATTGCAAAGTCATTGACAAATGGAGATCTGGGAATTTTTCATCATTTAACAAAGAAAGCAAGATACGACAACTTGGATGTTCTGGATACCTATGAATATCTCTGGACATCATATGAATATCATGGGACAAAGAAAAGTCGTTGGGAAAACTATGAAGCACTAACATAATTTTGTAAAAGTAACTGCAAAAATCAAAGATGTCATATAGCCCCCTCACTAAATTGTGTCTGAAAAATTGCAAATCCTCCCCCCAAAAGTTAGCAACACTTTATTATTCCAAGAATTAAAAACAGGTTGTAATTATAATCTAAATTTTGTTAAGTAAGATAAAATAAACTTTATAATGTTAGTTTTAGCTTCATTTTCAAGATAAAATCTCAATCAAAAGCTTTTCATTAGTAACTATGATATTTTTGTTCCCCTCTTAAGCAAATTCACCCATACCAATTATTCTCAAATGTCTAGTTTCATAATGTTTAAATCTGAAAAGAGATAGTAAAAAATTGTATAAAGTGTACTTTTATCTTCTATTTTTGGTTTTCCATTTTATCATTTTTAAATTAGTGAATAGATACTATTTGTATCTTTTTTATTTTTTAGAACAAGATTGCAGATGTTTTCAGATCCTCCAAAAAAGTAGTTGAAATAACATTGTATCGTATTCTACCCAATTGCAAACATTTAGAATATCATTTTTTTGGCAACATCCTTTTAAATTCGGGTTTAAATGAGTTCACACATTATCTGAGTTGCCAAGGGTATCAATACAGCAAAAGGAAATGTTCTAACCCACTAATAGCCTTCAAAGAACTACGTTGTTGAAAATTAAAAATCTCAGCAAGGAGAATTGAGAATTTGAATATTAATTTTTTTTAACCTAGAATACTGCTCAACACATAGAAGAGTTCAATAAATATTTGCTGAATGAATGGATTCTGAGTGGGACCTAGTCTAAATATGTCTCTCTTGTGTGCAGTACCCACTGAAGGTTCCTATTTCACCAGTTCCAGAGTGGGAGGCAAACGAGGAATTATCAAGGAACTCGCTGTCACCTTGCAAGGACCAGACGATAACACTCTGCTGTTTGAATCAAGATTTGAGAGTGGGAATCTGCAAAAAGCTGTCAGAATGTAAGTAACAAAGAATTTCCCAAAGGGATGAAAATTGGAGGAGTGTCTGAGAGATGTCTTCAGGAATAATGTTAATAGGAATGTTTGCAAAAAAGAGAGAGGTGATGTCAAATGGTTATGAGGATGAAATAGAAGAGTGGAATAATTGCGACTCATATTTTTCCCAGAGTAAAGTATTATCTAAATTGTTTCTTCTGCTTATAAAATAAATGAGTGCTCATATAAAATACATAACATAAAAAGCTCAAGTCTTGTAATTATTTCTCCCTGAGACAGCTACTGGAGCCCTGGTGGTGCAGTGGTTAAGAGCTTGGGCTGCTAATCGAAAGGTCAGCAGTTTGAATCCACCATCCATCTCCTTGGAAACCCTATAGGGCAATTCTGCTCTGTCTAGGGTCACAATGAGTTGGAATCAACTCAATGGCAACGATTTTTTGGTTTTGGAGTTAGCTACTGTTAACAGATTGGCATATACACCTTATTCTTTTTTTTTAAGTTTTTTTTTTATTGTACTTTAGATAAAGGTTTACAGAACATACTAGCTTCTCATTAAACAGTTAGTACACATATTGTTTTATGACATTGGTTAACAACCTCATGACATGTCAACACTCTCCCTTCTCGACCTTAGGTTCCCCATTACCAGCTTTCCTGTCTCCTCCTGCTTTCTAGTCCTTTGCCCCTGGGCTGGTGTGTCCCTTTAGTCTCGATTTGTATTATAAACCCATAAAAACCCATTGCTGTCAAGTTGATTCCAACTCCTAGCGACCCTATAGGTTTTGTTTTATGGCCCTGTTTAATCTTCAGATGAAGAGTGAACCTCACGAGTGACTTCATTATACTGAGCTAAACGGGTATCTGGGGGCCTTACTCTTGGGGTTTCTCCAGTCTCTGTCAGGCCAGTAAGTCGGGTCTATTTTTGTGTTAGAATTTTGTTCTACATTTTTCTCCACTCTGTCCAGGACCCTCTATTGTGATCCCTGTCAGAGCAGTCAGTGGTGGTAACTGGGCACCATCTAGTTGTACTAGACTCAGTGTGGTTGAGGCTGTGGTAGTTGTGGTCCATTAGTCCTTTGGACTAATCTTTCCCTGTGTCTTTAGTTTTCTTCATTCTCCCTTGCTCCCAAAGGGGTGAGACCAGTGGAGTATGTTAGATGGCCACTCACAGGCTTTTAAGACCCCAGATGCTACTCACCAAAGTAGAATGTAGAACATATTCTCTATAAACTGTGTTATGCCGGTTGAGCTAAATGTTTCCGAGACCATGGACACCTTATTCTATATGTGTGTGTATATGTGTAATATATACAAATTATATATCTTTAAAAATAAAAATAGAATAATGTTACACATACTGTTTTACAAATCACTTTTTTCACTTAATAAGTTTTAGGTCTTTTTTTGTTAGGACCACAGTTCTGCATCTTAATTTTTAATAATGCATGTTATTCTGTTGTATAGATATTCCATACCTTATTTACCCTGTCCTAAAATGATGGGAAATTGAGATGTTTATAATTTTTTGCTTCAATGAATTAATAGAATTAATGCCCTTATGCATTTATATTTTTACGTATTTGTGACTTTATGGGCTAAATTCTTAGAAATGAAATTGTTGAGCCAAAGGGTTTGAACCTTTTAAGTATTACTAGTTTTTGCCAAATTGTCCTCCAATGAGATTTCCATCCCATCAACAGAATATGAGTACCTTTTTCCCAGTGCTGGAATACCAATCAGAGGGGGAAATGGTGCCTTATTTTAATTTGCGTTTCTTTATGCATATGGGTGAATACTTTTTCATATGTGTACTGGCCATTTGTATTTCCTCTTCTTCGAGTTAGTCCTGCTTCTTTTAAACAAGGCGAATCCATTCCAGAGACAGCCCCTCATCTTCAAACAATTTATTAGTGGAGCTAAAAATAGCACTGGAGACTTAAAGATTTCTTTCTCAAAGGTGATCTCCAGGATGGAGCTAGCAGCCTGCAAGACTCAGGCCCCACTACTGTTAACCATGTTTCAGAGAATGTATTAGGTGGTTAGAAACTGCTGCTGGACACTCTAGAGAGATAACCAAGAAGCTCACAGAGCTCCCAAACATCCTGTACAACAGTATACATTTTGGGGACTCTTCCTGCCCCACCCCAAATAAACTTTCCTCCCCCAAGTTCCTGTTAGACTAATATGTGGGTTGAAGAACTAGGTAAATTAGAAAATATATATTTGATATCACAGGTTTTTCTGTAGTAATAAGATCTATTTTTACCAGGGAAAAACAGTATTTTCCCAGCTTTTTTTTTTTTCTTTTTTTTTTTTTGAGGGATGTGTTGGGTTACAGAAGGAGCCCTGGTGGTGCAGCGTTTCAGCACACAGCTGCTAACTGAAAGGTCGGCAATTTGAAACCACCAGCCGTTCCATGGGAGAAAGATGGGGCAGTCTGCTTCTTTAAAGATTTATAGCCTTGGAAACCCGGTGGGGCAGTTCTGCTCTGTCCTATAGGGTCACTGTGAGTCGGAATTGACTTGATGGCAGTGAGTTTTTTTAGGGTTTTCGTTGGGTTACTGAGATGTTCTTCAATTTTCTCTATTACAGAGACACCTATGAGTATGAGCTTACCTTGCGAACTGACCTCTACACCAACAAACACACTCAGTGGTTTTATTTTCGAGTTCAAAACACCAGAAAGGATGTCACCTATCGATTCACCATCGTCAACTTGCTAAAGCCCAAGAGCCTTTATACTACAGGGATGAAGCCACTCATGTACTCCCAATTGGATGCCAACACCCACAACATTGGCTGGAGGAGAGAGGGAAATGAAATCAAGTACTATAAGAACAACACAGATGACAAGCAGCAGCCCTTCTATTGTCTCACATGGACCATTCAGTTTCCACATGACCAGGACACATGCTTCTTTGCACACTTCTACCCATATACATACACTGATTTGCAATGCTACCTCCTGTCAGTGGCAAACAATCCTGTCCAATCCCAGTTCTGCAAGCTCCGTACTTTATGCAGGAGCCTAGCAGGAAATACTGTCTACCTACTTACCATCACCAACCCATCCCAAAGCCCTCAAGAGGCAGCTGCAAAGAAAGCTGTGGTCTTCAGCGCAAGAGTCCACCCTGGGGAAAGTAACGGCTCCTGGATTATGAAAGGCTTTTTGGACTTCATCCTTAGCAACTCCCCAGATGCCCAGCTCCTCAGAGACCTCTTTGTCTTCAAGGTGGTACCCATGTTAAACCCAGATGGAGTAATTGTGGGGAATTATCGATGTTCATTGGCTGGAAGGGACTTGAACAGGCATTATAAGACCATTCTAAAGGATTCTTTCCCTTGCATCTGGTACACCAAGAACATGATAAAGAGGTGAGAGCCTTTATCTATTGATCTCTATGTGAATGCTGTGAGCACTAGCACCAGATACCCCCACCTGATGGGGTGTGAACTTTCTTCCAGTGTTATAGGAGTTGGATATGGCTTTGGAGATAGTCTTTACCATTCTGTTCGCAGTCAAATGGGTTTATTAGTTTTTAAACTTCTAACCCCAAGCTTATCTTTGGTTTGAAATGGGGCGTGCAACCTTTCAGCAAGTAAAGTCAGTTCACGGATAAGTGAAGTGCTTAAATAGAAAAATTCAGAAGTCAGGAGAGTTCATAGTCTTCATTTAATCTTCACATTCACCCTGTGAGGTGAGTACAATCAGTATTCCCATTTGGTATATGATGAGGAAATGGTAGTACAGAAAGATTAAGTAACTTGCCCAAGGACATACAGCTAGTGATGGAGTAGATATTTGAACACAGGCTGTCAGTTTTCAGAGTCTGAGTTTCCTTATCACCATCTTATATTGCCTTTCATGAGGAAAGGGAAATAAATCGGTAATTTTCCAGCCCTGTGTGAAAGCAGTTGAGCGCTATGATGTAACAGAGCACCAACCTTAAAGGATCTTGCGTTTCGTTGGAAATAAAAATACAACATATAGGAATATGGGAATGCGTGCCTTCTAACCGTATCTGTGGCAAAGGGTGGGAGCCATGGTAGGCAAAATGGCCAAGAGCATGTGCAAGAGCATGTGTTTGGGAGAGGGACAGACTTGGGTTTGAAACCTGCTTTTACTACTGGCTGGCTTTGTGATCTTGGCCAAGTGATTTAACCTCTCTGAGCTTCATCTTCCTGATTTGTAGAATGAGTATAATAATACCTGCCTTGTGTGGTGACCGTGAGGATTAAATGAGATAATCCATGTAATCTGTTTAGCATAATACCCAGCACATTGTAAATGTGTGGCAGTGGTGGCCATTTTTGTTATCATCCTCTTCATCCTATCATCATCATCATGGAGAAAGTGAACATGCTTGGAAGGTTGGAAAACCTGGGTGTCCTAGACAAGCTGTTCTATAGATTTCAAGAAATAAAAGGCCCCTTAGGCTAGCTCTAATTGAGCAGGTTTCATTTGAGACTACGGTAGGCGACCAGGAAACAGAATATCTGGGCCTTATAGGAATTGGCCCTGGAAAGTAAGGAACTTAGGCTTTCTTTGGTTCTGCCTTTTTCATCCCTGCAATTACAGCCTTTCTGCCTCTCCCCACAGGTCTGCACCAGGGTGAGCTTTCTTTCAGTAGGTTTCCTCCCCTTCCTTACCAATTCATACATGGCCTACCCTACACCTCTTTCCACATCAGGACTTTTCCATGTCAAGTCCCTCTAACTGGTGGGGGCGAGGGTGCTGATGACTTATTTACAACAATGGTTGAGAATGGGAGGAGGACTGCTGAGAAGGGAGCTTGGACAGGCCAGAGACCCCAGACAAGAAGACATTTCAGCAGGGAAAGGCATGTGAGGCAGACCAGTTTGTGTAGACAGTTGAAGCTAGAGGGTAGGAGGAGAAAATATTGTCTAAAAAGGGTGTTTAGTCTAATGCAAAAAACATTGAAGGCCATCAGTTGAAATTTTCTTAGGAGGAAAGGTATCAACAACCATACTGAAGAAAGAGATTCCAAAAGATCCTTGGAATATTCTTGATTATTCACATGCATTTGGATGTCCACTGAGTCCTTTGTTTACTCCCCACCCCCACCATAGACTTCTTGAAGAAAGGGAAGTTCTCTTGTATTGTGATTTCCACGGCCACAGCCGTAAGAATAACATCTTCTTGTATGGCTGTACTAACAACGATCGCAAGTACTGGCTTCACGAGCGAGTCTTTCCTTTAATGTTAAGCAAAAATGCACCAGATAAGGTAAGCACACATAAGGTAATTTTCTGTCCATTGACTAAGGGAGACAGAAACTCACTGCTTCCTATACTTAGTATTTGATTCGCCACTTTGTATCTCTTTGTATTATCTTGGTTAAATACAGTGAAACCTGTGGGAGCCAGAACTCACCGAGACTGCCTTGTTTTTCAAGGTCTCATGAGTTTTCTGCATTTGACAGTCTTATCACTTTTCTATTGCTTGTTTTAATGGAAAATATTTGAGTTTTCCTTCTCTGACATGTTTCTGCCTCACACAGCTTCCGGCTTTCACAGGTTTTACTGTACCTGGACTTCAAGAATTTAGGAAAATGTGGCTGTAAAATTTGCTCTGCGTCCATAACTGGTGAATGGATAAATGAAATGTGGTACATCCACACTACAGAATGTTATTCAGCAGTAATAAGGAATCAAATGCTGATACATGCTCCAGCATGGGTGAATCTTGAAAACATCATGTTAAGTGAAAGGAAGCAGTCACAAATGACCACATATTGTATGATTCCATTTATATGAAATATCTGAATAGGCAAATCTAGAGAGACTTCTTGGAAGTAGATTAGTGGCTGCCTAGGGCTAAGTGTAAGGAGTGTGGATTGGGGAGTGACTGTTGATGGGTACAGGTATTTTTTGGAGGGAGTGATGAAAATGTTCTAAATTTAGATGGAGGTGACAGTTGCACAACTCTGTGAATATACTTAAACCTTTGACTTGTGGATTTTAAATGGGTGAATTTTATGGTGTGTGAATTATCTCTCAATAAAGATGGTTTTTGAAAAAATTGTTCTGGTTGCTTCTCCTGGGCACAAACATAAACTTTTTTTTTTTTTTTTTTAAATTGTGCTTAGGTGAAAGTTTACAGAGCAAATTAGTTTCTCATTAAACAGTTAATACACAAATTATTTTGTGACATTGGTTGCCAACCCCATAATATGTCAACACTGTCCCCTTCTCTGCCCCGGATTCCCTGTTTCCATTCGTCCAATTTTCCTGTCCCTTCCTGCCTTCTCATCTTTGCTTTTGGGCTGGAGTACCCATTAGTCTCATATATATGATTGAACTATGAAGCACCCCCCTCACATGTGTTGTCATTGGCCTTGTTTAAAAAAAAACAAACAAACAAACCTGTTGCCATTGTGTCAGTTCTGACTCATAGCAACCCCATAGGACAGAGTAGAACTGCCCCACAGGGTTTCCAAGGAGCAGCTGGTAAGTTCGAACTGCCAACCTTTTCGTTAGCAGCCAAATGCTAACCACCGTTCCACCAGGGCTAATCTTTGGACAAACTTAAACTCTTGGTAGGTAGAATTGTCTATCATCTTTAATCCTGTGGCTGCAGTGCAAGAAGGGATTGGAGGACAAAGAAAATACTAACATTATATGAGCCCCCACAGAAAAGTTTACATAATATGAGATAACAAATAACTGTAAGATATTAAAAGGCTAATGAGAACAACTTAAAATTTTTAATGACTGAGTAACAGCTCTTTGACAGTTGGGCATATACAGTCCCTGCATTTAGAAATTGGTTTTTAGCATCTTAAATAGATCCATAAAATGTAACTGTCATTAGAAAGAAGAAATTAGGTTGGGATTAGAAAAGTATTTAAATAATAGTTCAGATCTTCTCATGTAAAGGTATATGAGACAAAATGTTAAGTGAGGAACTGCTGCTCATATGTAAGAAGAAGGAGTTATATGGACTCTTCAGCCTTTCTTTTCTTCCTTCCTCTTTTCCTCCACTCCTCTCTTCCTTAGTATTTTTATGAAATGTACTTTCGGAAATAATATATAGACACCACGGGAACCATTCTTGTATCATATCAATGAATCTTAGATGTCTTACATTTGCCTGTTTATGATTAACAGAGAGTTTGGATTTCTCTTTAGTTCTCTTTTCATAGTTGTAATTTTAAGGTCCAAAAGTGCAAAGAAGGAACAGGACGGGTAGTTATGTGGCGGATGGGAATCCTAAACAGCTACACCATGGAGTCTACCTTTGGCGGGTCCACCCTAGGTAAGCTCATCATAGGCTAGCGTGGCAAGGGGAAGCCAAGCACAGCACCTAGGGAGATGAAATCCTTTTGAATGTTGGGGAAGTAATTGACCTAGAGGATTTCTTATCTGTGACTTATGCTAAATTTGAGTACTCAAAATATGTATGTGAAATATAATACTTGATGGGGCAGTATAGCATAGTGGTTGATAGGGCTCTGGAATCAGGTGGATCTGGGTTTGAATTTCAGCTCCATTTAAAAGTTGTGTGATCCTGGGTAAGTTACTTAACTTCTTGCAACCTTGTTTTCCTTTAAGTGGCAATAATAGTACCTGCATTATATGTACTGTTTAATGGGATTGTTCTTGTTGTTGTTAGGTGCTGTCGAGTCAATTTCAACTTGTAGCAACGCTATATGACAGAGTAGAACTGCCCCATAGGGTTTTCTAGGCTATAATCTTTATGAAAGCAAATCGCAAGTCTTCTCCCACAGAGCCGCTGGGTAGATTCAAACTGCCAGCCTTTTGGTTAGCAGCTGAGTGCTTAACCATTGCACCACCAGAGTGCCTCGTTTAATGGGATAGTGCATGTAAAACATTTGGCATAGTGAATAAAACCTCATAATTGTAGCCATTAGGATTGCAAACTATTTTTATTGTCAAAGATTCATCTGAACCAAACTATAGCTAGAAAGGGAGCTACCCCATCCAGAAACATAGTATTCTAGAATCAGAGATGGTATTTTTAAAGAGATAATTGTGGATTGGATTTGCATTCAGTCATTAAGATTTAATAAAAATAATGTTGATGGATTTTTCCAGGCAGTAAAAGAGACACCCACTTTACTATTGAGGATCTGAAATCCCTAGGCTATCATGTCTGTGACACCCTTCTGGATTTCTGCGACCCTGACCAAACCAAGGTACAAATGGGTTTCAAGAAATGTAGTGATGCTACCATGATAGTCAGTCCATTGGGATTATAGGTGATACTTTATTTTCCCCTTAACATTTTTTGAAAGTTTTCATGAACAAAGAAATAATAAATCCCCCAGCCTACACACTCTCAGCAAATGGTCTAACCTCATAATTCACTGAGAAGATAGACACCATCCTGCAAGTTTTACTTCAGCACACCTCTCCCTCACTCCTAGCTTACCTATGGCAGCACCAATTCTTACTTCCTTTTCTCCTGTTTCAGAAAAGCAGGTGTCCTTTCCCTTCTCCAAAACCAACACTGCCCTTTGTGCATTTGGCGACCTCTCCTACAGCGTCCCTAAGGTCTTCCCTGATTAACCACCTCTTCTCTTTTCTGTATCCTCAGTTTTTTCTTCTTACTTCTTCTCCTCAACCGCAGTGTTCTCAAGCTGCCCTATCCTAAAACACAAACACAGGTTTCCTTTGGCCTTGTTTCTCTATTTCCCTTCATCACTTAGCTTCTTAAAAGGGAGTCTGTACTCATAGTCTCTAACTTACCTCTCATACCCCTCCAGAAATGTTAGCCCTGGGAGCATTATCGATATCCACCACCCTGAATGCAATTGTTTAATAAAAAATATTTAAAGGAGAATTTGACTACCCTGCAGCCTTGAGTCATCTTTGCCACTGACAAAAGTCTGAACAACCCCCTTCTAACATTTCCTTCCTTGCTACTCAAAATCATAAAATAAAGCAGACCATTACATTGTTTAAAAAGTTTATCATTGGCCTGAGAACAGCAGCTAAAGCAATACTCATTGATGTCCTGCCCTGAAAAAAAGTCTACACGTTCCTACAGCTCATACAATTTGTCTGTTAACGTGTCCTTAGTAGCCGGGGTTGCAGCTTATTCATCTTTGTTTCACCAGCAATAGGTAAAGTGCCTTTCAGAGTATAATTAGTAAATACTTGATAAATAAATAAATGATCAAAAATAATTCTTTGTTTCACTTCACAGTTCACACAGTGTCTAGCAGAGCTCAAAGAGCTCTTACAACAGGAAATTCATAAGAAATTCAGTGAACTTGGACAAGATATGGATTTAGAAGGAAGTTGGAGTGACATCTCTTTGTCTGACATTGAATCCAGGTGACAAACCTCGTATCAAAGGAAATCCAGAGAAGTTCTACCTTTTTAAAAAGTTTTGTTATTTTGTTTGCTCTGTTTTTGTTGTTGTTGTTGTTTTTGGTTTGGTTTAGTTTTATTTTGGACCTCAGGTGCAAAAAGTTGACTAAATCATACTCCTCAGTCATGGCACACTTCAATGCACTTAATTCCTTCAACAGCTATGTACCAAGTACCTGTTCTTTGCTAGGCTTCATTCTAAACACTAGAAAGGGGTAAGGAGTTTGTGTAGGGCCTTGTAGGCCATTGTAAATAAAGCCTTCGGCTTTTACTCCAAGGGAGATGGAAAGCTTTTGGAAGGTTTTAAGCAGAGAAATGTCATGATCTGACTTAGTTTCTAATTTCAACAGGAATACTGTGGCTGCTGTGTGGAAAATAGATTGTAAGGGGGAAGTCTAAGCAGGGAAACTAATTATGAAGCCAGTAAAATAATACAGGTGAAAGATGATGGTGACTTAGACCAGAATGTGGTGGTGGTGGAGTGGTGTGAATGGGTCAGATTCTAGATACATTTTGAAGTTACACCCATTGGGATCTGTTTATGGATTGGATATGAAACATGAGAGAATGAGGACATGAAAGGGGGAGGAGACAGTTTGTGGGTGAGGACTTTAGATTAGTCTAGCTGTGCATCTAAAACTTTCGAAAGGAGAATCGGAGTGATAAAAGTAATGCTCTTGGTGTCTGACTTGTAGATTGCTTATTATTAAATCTACTTATTTATACAGTCAGCAAATTTTTACAGACTACCTAGTAAGTTCCTGGCTCTCAGAATTGGTACTGGCCAGACTGCTCCCAAACAAATCACAGTCCCCCACTCTTCACTAGGGCTATGCACTGAGAATCCTATAGCCTTTCCCAACTACTGCCAAGGGCAACTTTCCCCATCTGGCCAGTGTTCACTTTGACACATGGATGGTGAACTCCTTGGCACCAGGGGCTCTGCCTCATTCATCTTATCCCTGTGACTGGCACGGAGTAGGTGTTCAGGATAAATGAGTGAGTGAATGAATGAATGTGCTTGCCGAGAGTTTCTGAGTCATTGAAATACAGACAATGTGGGCAAACAGCAGACTATCCTAGTCCTATGCAGCTAACCGGAAGATGTTATACTTCCTGGACGTGTTAATAACAGTTATTTCCCTTCTTTTCTTTTGGAAACAGCACCAGTGGGTCTGACAGCTCCCTCTCAGACGGTCTTCCCATTCACCTACTGAACATAGCAGATGAGGTGAGATTATTTAGACCCTTACACCCAGGAATGTAACAGCCTTAAAAATAACATGACATTACCGGATAATTTAGTGGAATTTTGCAGAACGCAAACAAGATTGTAATTTCCTTCTACAATCAGAAAACATAGCAATAGTATCCTAACTGGTCACCCTGCCCTGGAGGTTTTCATTTTATCCTTTATAACTCACTTTAAAAAATCTAGGGAATAAAAAATATGGGGACTCCATATTTATTCCATAGTTTTAACTAACAGTAAAAATCATGTTGAGAGATAGAGGTTATTAAAAATGACCCATACTTTAAAAAAAAGTTACTCATATAATCTTTTTATATTTCTGTATATTAAGTAATTGTTTTGCTCCATCTGCTTACAGACTTTTTTTTGCATGGATGCCATAGAGCTTAAGGAAAAACAACACATTTGTTTTGGTTTATTATACACATGATTAACCAGTAAAGAAAGAGTTCTCTCCAGCGTAGGATGAGATTAAGGCTGCGTCAGGAGGAGCCAGCCATGTCAAACTGTGCCCTACAGTTTCTTCTGCTGGATTTGCAGCAACATCAGTATAAGCTTCATCACACAGTGGGTTCCTGGACAATCAGTCTCAGCTGCATTTGCCACTAAAGCCACCTTGTAGTCACAACTAAACTGAGTCTTTTAACCACAAACATCTAATTAAAAACAAAAAACAAAAAAAAAACCCCATTGCTGTTGAATCGATTCTGACTCATAGCCAACCCTATAGGACAGAGTAGAACTGCCCCATAGAGTTTCCTAGGAGCAGCTGGTGGATTCGAACCACTGACCTTTTGGTTAACAGCTGAGCTCTTAACCACTGAGCAACCAGAGCTCCAGCACATCTAATAATCAGTATTATCTGGACCTGACATTAATGCTATAAGTAAGCTGATTTCATATGTTAAATGACAGATATTCAGTTATTGGTATAAGTGCGCCTTTGGTGGTGTATCTACAATAGTGAGGTTTTGGGTTGTTAAATAAGGAGCAACCTCTGGCAAGGCCACTGAACTATTTGTTCATTCTCCAAACAACGATGCAGCATGGTGAGGGCCCACATACTGGATTAGCTGTTGTGTCTTGAATGTTGTGTGAAAAGAATGCCATGTGTACGCAGGCAGTTGGCTCTGGAATCCTAAGTGACTGGTTTCTCTGTACTTTCTGGAATAGTTGAAACAGAAGAAGATGTATAAGAAGAAGAAAAAGAAGCAACTCCAGACTAGAAAACAGCGAAATGAGCAATATCAGAGAAATAATTTGATGCGAGAGTTAAAGTTAACCGAAGATGCCTCAGTAAGAAAGCCTGCCGCCTGCTTCTGTCTGGTCACAGGGTATTCCATCGAGGGAACAGGAAAAGGGGTTAAGATTTACTCTAAAGCAGAAAGGGGTTGGGGATTGGGAGGAGACGCTTTCTGTTTTGAGTTCAGAGACCTTTCATAGCATAGCAAGTTTAGGTTTTGATCAAGTCTGGATTTCCAGAAGAGAGAGGTGGTACTGGAAAAGTGGTGGCTGGAGCAAGTCCAGAGTGGCTGGGTGGCTGAGGAATCAGGCCTGGTCTAGGCTGAGGACACCTGGATAGCTCCTTCCCAATCTTTCTCCTGGCTGTCACACCCAGACCACAACCTCTGCTTCTTAAAGATGAGAAAGCTTTCAGAGGTGGTGTTGCTATTGGGTAAATTGGGTCAATTGTGTATGGATCTGTTAAAAAATAATTCTTTTGTTCTCAATCCTTTTAGGAAAGGACAGGATTTGCTTCTGCTCTGCAAAAGCAGCCTACCTTTTTCAAAAATTCAGAGAATCCTAGTTCTACAACAATGAAAAATGACAAACCAAGATTTAATGAGGTAGCTTTTTGCTGTGCTTTTTGTCACATAACTTGTCTGATTTCTCCAGTACAGCGTGTCTCTCCAGGAGGCCGAAGAATGCCGTAGCCATCTATGTTATCCTTATCTGCAAGTGCCACTGGGAGGAGGGCAACACTAGAATTGGTGGGGACACTGGCGCTGCATTGGATTAGACACCCCTGAAGGCTAACATTAAATATTAGTGATTTGTGATTTTTTGCCAAAAACATCAGAACAGGCTGCTTTACAGTCTTTCCACCTACCCATCCATGCATCCATCTAATAAATTTTATTGCTAACATACTAAGTGCCTCTATTGGAATACATTGAACAAAACACTGTCCTTGCCTCAGGGACCTTAGACACTGGTAGGAATTTTAACAAGTCCACAGGAAATTACATCACAGTAAGGGTGTGGTGGGAACACAGAGGACAGGCACTCAACCAGCTTTTGGGTTGTTTTCGTACTTTGGAGTCTTGTGGCTATAAAATCCTTGATTTTTTTTATGTATAAGAATATGTTTTGATACAATAATAGCTGATTTTTAGCGGACAGGGTGCAAGAATGCTACCCTGTGGTTAACAATGTTATAATGAGGCCCCCCTGCATTATACTGGGGAACCCCCAACAGAACACAACTGTCCCTATTCAGTATTGATGGTCTCTGGTGTCTAATGTAGTAGTGGCAAGAGCACAAGTTTGAATTCTGTCTAAAATTCAAATTCTAGCCTCACTATTTAATATTCCATGAGTTACTTAACCACCTGTCTTAGTTATCTAGTACCACTATAACAGAAATACCACAAGTGGATGGCTTTATAACAAAGAAAAATTTATTCTCTCACAGTCTAGTGGGCTAGAAGTCCAAATTCAAGGCACCAGCTCCAGGGGAAGGCTTTCTGTCTCTGTTGGCTCTGGGGGAAGGTCCTTGTCATCAATCTTCCCCTGGTCTAGGAGCTTCTCAGGTGCAGGGACCCCAGTCCAAAGGACGTGCTCTACTTCTAGCACTGCTTTCTTGGTGGTATGAGGTCCTCCTGTCTCTCTGCTTGCTTCTCTCTTTTGTATCTCAGAAGAGATTGACTTAAGACACAACCTAATCTTGTAGATTGAGTCCTGCCTCCTTAACGTAACTACCTCATTGACATCAGAGTTAAGATTTACAACACATAGGAAAATCACGTCAGATCACAAAATGGTGGACAGTCATGCAATACTGGGAATTGCCCTAGCCAATTAGACACGTTTTGCGGAGACATAATTCAATCCATGACACTACCTTAGGATTCAGTTTCTGCCTTTGAAAAATTGTTGGTGTTACTTGCCATCAAGTCGGCTCTGACTCATGGCAGCCTTACGTATAACAGAATGAAACATTGCCCACCTTCATGATCATTGGTATGTTTGAGTCCATTGTTGTTGTCAGTCCATCTTATTGAGGGTTTCCTTCACCTTTGCTGTGCCTCCACATTACCAAACATGGTGTTCTTTTCCAGTGATTAGTCCTTCCTAATGACGTATCCAAAGTGAGTCAAAGTCTCAGACAACATTCTGTATTCCATATGGCTTTCACTGGCTAATTTTCAGAAAAATGTTCTTGTTAGGTGCTGTCAAGTTGGTTACAATTCATAGCAACCCTACCTACAATGGAACAAAACACTGCCCAGTCCTGTGCCATCCTCATGATCATTGTTATACTTGAGCCCATTGTTGAAGCCACTGTGTCAGTCCATCTCATCAAGGGTCTTCCTCTTTTTCACTGACCCTCTATACTTTATTAAGCACTGTGTCCTTTTCCAGGGTCTGGTCCCTCCTGATAACATGTCTGAAGTACGTGATACAAACTTTTGCCATCCTTGCATCCAAGGAGCACTCCAGCTGTACTTCTTCCAAGACAGGTTTGTTTGTTCTTCTGGCAGTCCATGGTATACCTATAGTCTTCACCAACACCATAATTCAAAGGCATTAATTCTGTTTTCCTTATTCACTGTCCAGCTTTTGCATGTATATGAGGCAATTGAAAATACCATGGCTTAGGTCAGGTGCACCTTAGTCCTCAAAGTGACAGCTTTGCTTTTGAACACTTTAAAGAGATGTTTTGCAACAGATTTGCCCAATGCAATACGTCATTTGATTTCCTGAATACTGCTTCCTTGGGTGTTGATAGTGGATCCAAGTAAAATGAAATCTGTTACAACTTCAGTCTTTTTTCCACTTGTCGTGATATTGCTTATTGGTCCATTTGTAATGAATTTTGTTTTCTTTATGTTGAGATGTAATCCATAGTAAAGGTTGTAGTCTTTGATCTTCATCAGTAACTGCTTCAAATCCTCTTTACTTTCAGCAAGCAAGATTTTGTCATCTGCATATCGCAAGCTGTTTATGAGTCTTCCTTCCAATCCCAGTGCCTCATTCTTCTTCATATAGTCCAGCTTCTCGGATTATTTGCTCAGCATACAGATTGAATAAGTATGGTGAAAGGATACAACCCTGATGCACACCTTTC